GTTCTCAGTGAGTCTGACCTATTACTGGAAAAACTGGCCTGCGGCGCCATTGCTTGCTGCGCGATCTTTCGCTCCGAGCGGGTGTATAATTCAGTAGGTTGTGAGAAAATTTTGTACCGTTTTAGTTTTTTAATAAGGCTTTTTTGGCGAAATTCTACCTAGAGCGTTCACGAAATGACACACAGCAAAGCTTGTGCAGGCCACCATGTGAAGACTTGCAATGTCAAAAGTAGCTCATTCCTACCATTTTGCAGCTTTACAAGAGCTTACAGTTGGTGAGACGTGTTAATTATCATGAACCAACAGAAACAACTGGCAAGAGTGCGGTATGCTCCTCCCTCTTCCCCTAACCAGCGAAGTCCGCCAACTTACCATGGACTTTGAATGGAGACCTGGGTAGATCGATAGAGTCTATAAGGTTATTTACAAATATAGATAGCAAAACTGCAACCTGCATTTCACAAGCAACTTATGAGCAGGTTGCGCGCCGCAAGGTCAGTGGGGCCAGCTGGCGTTGGATGGCTTGGGTGTGATCTGTATAAAGCACTAAGCGAGCAATCGCAGACGTCGAAAATCGCAATCGTCGAGTTCGAACCGCTTATTCCGACTCGAACCATGCACCGACCTACTTCGATCGCTATGCGATTCCCCTCGCTGTATCTGTCACACCTCACCACCAAGCCTCCAACCGTACCTGCAGCAAATTGCGAAAAACCTTGTTCCTGCTTTATTAATTCGCTTATCGAATAAATGGCAGATGTTGCAATTTTGGCTAACTTATTTACAAAGTACCTTATATACTCCATCGCTTACCCGCAGGTCTCCATTCTAAAAGTCTATGTGTAAGTTTGGCGACTTCCTTGTAAGCCCGTTGAGCACCCGACTTTTGCAGCGAAAACCCACACAAATCTTTTGATATCATCCTTGAGTAACACATTTTCTTTCACATTCTTGTGTACAATCTACAGTCGTTCTTATCGTTTCTTAGATAAAGCTGTATAGTTGAAAAGGAATTTATGTAATTCATGCTTGAATTGTGCATATGAGAAAGTGCTAGTGAAGTGGCGCGCAAGGTCAGTGGGGGCTGGTGTGGGGGATGGGGAGAATGATTCTGTAGCAGAAAGGACGACTGAGGAGTGGCTTGTAGCCGCTAAACATACACACAACGTAACCTTGTGGAGGGCAAAAATCATCATTGAAAAATGTCTGGAACCTCACCCTTCGAAAAAGTGAAACGTATTAAAGAAATTCATTAATCATGTCGATTCAGATCGGAAGGCCAAGTGCAACAGAAGGCAACTCCGCGATTTCACATCTGGGTCACTGCGAAATATGAGAAACAAGTTAGCTTAGTTAGTTTGCTCACAGCATATTTATCCTGTACTGATCGAGTGATTTTCTGATAGTAACGTGTTGACTGATTTTTAGGCGAGAGATTTATTTGGAATCATAAGCACAACGTTGCTCATTACGGACGTGGCCGTACCAGGTAACTCCACGTTTCTTTCTAGATAGGACAAATATTCGCTCCTGATTGAATCTATAGCCTGTAACAATGCAGCGCACATTCGCTGTTGACTCGTTAGTCTTTCTCGTGCTGTGGTTGATTGTTTTTAATACTCGTTCAGCATAAATTATGTTCTTAATACTGTTCAGATAAATATTTGTTATTGATTTAGTTCCGTGAATAGGGATGATTGATATTCTCTTCCTCTTTGTACTGGTAGTGAAATCATAGTGTTTAGAGAGTGGTAAGGATTCATGTGTACTGTCTCTAGTACTTTTATACTTTTCTTGGGATAAACGAGGAGTGAGGAAAGCGAGCTTTTTAATGACATTATTTAGGGTTGAAGTACTTTCGGATGCTTGAATGTTTCGTTCTCTGCGGATGATGGGGCCTGTCAGCGCGGCGCCGCGGCCGCGTTTGGCGTGGCGCCAACCTTTTTTTTCTTTTGTTTTTCGGCAAGCAGCGAGTCTGTTCTACATCGTTAGTATCAGTCGTTTTCCGCCAGAGTTTTTGCCACTTTCCCTTTTCAGCAAGTGGTGGAGAACGGGCTAAGCGCACCTAACGTAGCTGCGCTGACACACCCCATCATTCGCAACGAACAATACTGTGCACTCTCGTTGGCAAATCAGTAGTGATACCTAGATTTTGCGTTCAGATGAAAACTGTTATTGAAAAGTTGAAAGCCGAAATCGATGTTCTTGAGGGACGTGTCAAAGCCAAAGAAACTATTCTGAAGTGTGTTTTTTCGGATCTTCAGAGCACATCGAGGGACCGTCAAATGGTTCACAAGGTAACTACGGCGTAGATGACACATACAGTCTTATTTGCTGCGGATGAAAGGACGTGTCAAGCGGGACGGTTTGGCGCGGCATCACACCCGATTCTCACCACTTGTTGAAGCGTGCAAGCGACAGGACTATCATGTCGTTCGTGTCAGTCGTTTTTTAGCAAATGTCGCTCACCTGCTTCAACAATTGGTGGAGAACGGGTTTGCGCGGCGCCAGACCCATCTCGCCCGGCACACCCCCTCACTAGCAGCGAACAAGACTGTATTTCGGTTCACGAGTCACTCTACAGAGCCTTAGATAACACTCAGTGCTTGCTCATCCTTTTTGCGTAGCCTGTGTCTGAGGCGTACCCTATTGAAGGTTTACATACCATTTTCATTTTAAATTCACGTCTTGTCGAGCTAAACCGCCGGGCAATTTATTAACCTGATTAAAATAGACTCGACTCTACTGCATGCCCCGCCCCGACAGCAGCCCATCTTTTCGACACATAACTTCTACTTCTGTGGCTTTTTTGCACTTTTGCTACTTCGCATACATAATAACTGAAAAAGACTGGTGTGCCGACATGCCCCCCTGCGTGTGCTCCCACCATTTCTGTGAAATCTCCCAATTTCTGGGTAGAGGTTCGAATGGCAAGCAGAGGTGTCGTGTAGCATGGAAACACAAAGAACAACAGCCAGCTTTGTACGAGCGAAAATGAACTCTCTCTGCGCTCTAGTTCGGTGTGGGGCCTGCTTGTTCAGCGTATAGCATGTCTATGAGCTAATTCTTTGTCTTAAAGAGTGGATCCGAAACAACGTGCGTTCACAAGGTTGAGGCGTATTGTAGTTGGTGTGTGTGAATGGCGGGGAGGGGGGGGACTGCTCAGCGGCGTCTCTGTATTCCTTCTTCGTAAAGGCTCAGGCTTAGAGCGCTAAAGAAAAGAGTCCTGACTAGGGAAGGTCGTCAGGTCGAAGTGGCCATTGGTAATGAGATGTAGCTACTAGACGTGGTTTTGGACGCTGATCTCGAATCTGCCTTCGAAATTTGCAGAACGATTCTCTGGACGGAATTATGAAGGTTTTTTAGAATTAAAATGAAGGAAAACGGCGAGCGCAGTGCCAGCCCTCGCATGAATAGCGCGCGAAGAACACTCACGCCAATGCGCAGATGCGTGCTAGTGTAGTGGTATTGCTTCGCGGGCATGCCATGAAGGGTTCGAATTTCCGGAGGGCGGCTACTTTTGCATTTTGTGCGGAATGTCTCTTTTGAGTCTAGAAAACATTCAAACCCAAATGGGTAACCATATTCGTGTTAGGAGTAAACTACCCCTGGGGCAGGTTTCTAGCCAGATGTGAGGTTTTGACCTAACTTTGAAAAGTATGCGGTAGCGCTGATCGAATGATGTCGCTACTAGTTCCAGGGCCAATCTCTTGTTGATTGCTTGTTTTTGGACGGAATTTGCTTTCAGATATTAGGAAAACTGAAGCAGTAACAAAATGAATGCGTAAGAAGTGGCAAGACGAGGGTTTGTGCAGGAGAATGTATCTGCATCTGAATAGGTGTGTACATCAACTGAACTAACCCATGGATGGTCCACTTATGGAAGTCAGGTCAAAATGCCAGATTTGGCTAGAAACCTCTACATAGGCGTAGTTTCGCCCCCATAAACACGAATATGGCACTCGCTCAGCGCGAAAACGCCTGCACTGCGCGCCAAGGGCACCTGTACATCCAAGAAATTCTCCTAGATCATAAGGCACTAAGCGTGCCAGTAAGCGAACGCAAACTGTTTTTCAGGCAAGTCAAGTGATGAGCCGCTAATCGAAGTAGTCAACCAAGACCACGTTTGCCACGTTTTGCGCAGGAGCGCACAAAAGTTAGTCAGCAGGATCCGATCACACGACTGTCTTGCGTGGTAAACGCGATGGAAAAAGCTCCATAACTCCGTTCAAAGAATCGTTCTGCAAATTTCGAAGGCAGATTCGAGATCAGCGTCTAAAACCACGTCTAGTGAGCTACATCTCATTACAAATGGCCACTTCGAACCTAACGACCTTCCCTAGTGAGAAAACAAGCTCTCCCCTACCAATAAGCCTAAGCCTTGTTGAGGAGAAGGGATACAGAGGCGCTGATGCGTGATCCCCCATAACTACGTCAGCGTCTAAAGTTATGTGCATTTGAAATTTGTTCCGAACTGCTTGAAGCGGCGTCGCCTATATATATCCGTGTACCAACCCTTTTTATGCAACTTTGAGAAATTTGAAAGTTTATGGCCGCTTCTTACTAATTACCGTCAGGTTGAAAGCAGTACACGTATGCAAGACAGTGGTGCTGGCTTAAGGCAAACAGTGTGCTCATTCGAATCCTGGTCCTTGCCATGTGCTGAGTGGGTCTGCAGCTGCAGTAGCGTGCCACTTTCTCCATTGAAATGTGTGGGAACGTGGTTGAAGGGAGTGATTACCAAGTGCCGCCTGGGACGCCGCCCACAATGCTACACACTGATCACGCCACGCAACTAAGCATGGCCAAACGCACTGCTTATCTGCACCTTCTCACTTCAGGTTGTTCTGAAACCTTGCACCGTGTGTTCGCTGTGGAATACCGGTACCGACGCAAGTGCCGCACTTTGAGTAGAGCGGCGGAGTCGGCGTAACGTCGGGTATCACTACCCTTCAGCCTCATTTCCGCACGCTCTCAAGAGCCGAAAGTGTTATTTTTGTACAGCTGCCAGTCCGTTCCTCCGTTCTTCTCGCACATGGCAAGAACCGTTCTTGGAGATGAGCGTACAGTTAGTGTTTGTTGTATTTATACTTCAGGTATTGGGCGTTAGACCAAAAGAATCGTCTGTTGTGAGCCATATTTCGTTGGATCAGCGCTGGTGCGTGGCATTCGAAGACACAATCTGCGTATCGTTTGATGTTGTGAACATTTCGGAACAGAATCACATGTATGTATTTTGTATTTTGAGCCTGCACTGAACTCTGGAGCGCAGTAGTGTAATTTGAGTTATCTTGAATTTCTTCAGAAGTAGCAGAAGACTTCTGAAGTAAGTGAACCTGTTTCCTTGGCGATAACGGTGAAAGAGATCTGCTTCGTTCTGAAAGTGTACCAACACTTGAACGCAACAGCAGAACACTTTTGTAAAACTTTTATAGGCAACCGGTTTGTCATACCCTGGATAGCAGTGGCTTTGTCCGATGTGTTCTTCTGAACGAAGGATCTGAAATCCATCTTATACGGTCTGCTATTTTCCTAACACTTTTCTCCTTCTGTTTTGAGAGCTTTTACTTTATTGTTGAAAGAGCGTTGTCCTCTTTGATTCCAAGGATAGAAACTCTACCAATCATGAATACTTTCCTTTTTTCCAAGGTGTACCTTTGTAGTTTGAGAGTAGAGCAAGCTCCTTGTGTTTTCAGTTTTGAGTGTTTTCAATAATTACCAGGAATGTTCTGAGAGCACGGGGTTTGAGAAAAAAAATCAACGATTCTTACTTCATAACCCTAATTCTGATTACTAGTCACTTCCAGCGTCTCGAGTTGGGCCATTTTCATCCATATTCAGGGGAGAAGTCTTGGTATATACTGAGCGAAGGGGCGTGTAGAGGGCCTGGATCGGAGGCAGTCAGGGCAGTCTTTTTCACCAATTTTCCTGGGCTCAGAATGCCATCAGCTGATGGAAAAGGGCGCGCTCACTTCGCTCCAGTTCACGCACGCCCCCCCCCTCACATGCTCTCTCTTTTAAAGGCACGGTCCGCGATCAGGTATCGAAGTTGAAAATATGGCGTCAGGAGGTTAGAGTGGTCCGCGACGAACAACCTTGTACCGGTTTCGCGGCAAAAAATTCTATGGGAGGGGCGCTGTAGCGCAAGTTCAGTGGCTCCTCCTT